CTGCCATCCTGCACTTGCGGTTGAGGTCCGGCGGGGAACACTGCCATCGTGCACTTGTGGTTGAGGTCTGGCGGGGAACACTGCCACACGACCCTTGCAGTTGAGGGGAACACTACGTACCACCTGAGGCTCGCGGCTCGCGGTTGAGGACAACACGGAGGAGGAGGAGGAGGAGGAGGTCAGACAGCTGACATAAAATATAAAACAACCCTCACCTGTCCGAACTCTTTCCTTGAGGAGACTGGAAATCTGACCCTCGGACCCTCAGAATCGAACAGGACAAAATGTACCAAATTATTATAATTTTTGCATGCAGCGTTTGGAGGTCGCTTGGGACGGCACATACGCCGCAGATTGGGTCGCTTGAATTCCTCCGGCAGGTCCCACTCTCCAAGGCACAGCATCACACTCTCCTCCGTCTCCACGGAAGAACGCCGGAGCGACACACGGCTCTCATCCCGGCTGGTGGGTGACCCAGCACCGCTTGGGGCATCCTTGGTTTGCTTTGGAATGGTCTAGGGATGCAGCAAAAAAAAGGAAAAAGTGACGTATCCTCTGTGGTGTACGTTCTATTTTATTTGGCAGGTTGCGCTTGTTGGATCGCTGGGATGCAAAACGGTCAAAGCTGAACTTCGTTCTAACTCCGCTTTACGGAATTTCCATAAAGACAGGAAGAGAGCGTCAACTATCGCTATCGTGGCTGTGGCCTGGGATGCCTTGCAGAGAAACAAATACTTGCCTGATGTGCACTTCTGACTTAATCTCTTCTAAATTCGTGTCTGCAGAGTGATTTCTCCCACAATGAGTGTTTGATGTGTTTTGTACCCAGCACTAATCAGCAAATCCAAAGCTTTGCTGATCTTCACCCTGATCTCTGAACATGCTCTCATCAGGTCCGTCACTTGACATATTATAATATAGTATATAAAGATAGTTTAACTATACTATAGGGAGAGGGAGAGACAATGCATATTTGCGTGTTTGTGCAGTTGGTAATCCTGGGTGGTTCCCCTCCAGCCCTTTTCGTCACCATCCAAGCAGCCCAAGAACTCCCCGCTCCAATCAGAACGAGAACTCACCACTTCGACAAACACCAGAAAAAGCCCTTCGACAAACACTCACTCAACATTCCCTACACATGGATATGTCTGGATACTGAAAAAATGACAAAACGTGCCAAAACAACATGTTGCACATCTACGAACGAAGAAATCGCCTAAAACGATCTAAACGATCAAATATATTTGGGGTGCCCACACGAGTTTCCCACAGATTCACTTCTGCAAACTGTCCACTGAAGGAAGAAACACCGCCAAACGTTGCTTTCGCTGCACTCCTCCTTCCCATGTTGTGCCAAGTATCTCCCACGAAGGACCCGCCAGGTGTGGAGACCAGCATGGAGAGCCGCGGCTCAGAGCTGCTACGCCCTTGGAACAGTGCGAGAGGGTAGATGATGAGGGAGAATACGGGAAAATTAAAGTGGGATCATGATGCTGAGGAATGGAAAAGTGCGAAAGGGATGGTGGAGCACTCGTGATGGGGGGCTTCCTGACTGCAAATCGACGTTGAAATCTTCTCAGTGAGTTGAAAATGGAAAACTGTTTTGAAAAGTCTGTACCGGGGATTTGGTCGGACTTGGGTTACGTTGTAGTGTGGGGCATGGCTAGTTGAGCTGGTTCTTCAGGAAAGCCACTCACCCTGAGCCACTTGTGATCCCGACCACCCTTCTACAATCAGAGCCAGAAGCCCAACTGACTTGCAAAGGGTCCGCTTGCAAACCATGGTGGAATACTGTGCAATATATCTTTTGTACAGAAACAAAACCTCACAGTATTCAACAAGAAGCTACTAGGGGCTCCTGGCCTTACTACTAGGAGCAAGAAGCGATTAGGAACAGTAGCTAAAACCCATCAGTTTCCCGATTCTCCCAGTTCCTTCACTCCCTTCACACCTCGGGAGTCGCTCATAAAAGCCGCCGGCGTCAAGGCGATCCCCACGCCGGTGGCCAGGAACCTCGGCACAACATGCGGTATCCCAAAGGTGAGGTCGTCTGATTGGTGTGCAAATTGGAAAATGAAAGGTTTGGAAGTTTGGAAGACTAACTGCTATTTCACCGTCTCGCCGTTTGTCTTTGCCCAGTCTGCTCCAAATCATGGTGCTTTGTCTTTGTCCCGACTTCCACCACCTCTAATTAGATGGAATTCGGCCAGCAAGGGGGCTCTTTCTGATCCCATCTACTCTACTGTAATCGTCTGCTCTTTGTTCGGTGTGGAGCTTTGAAGTCCTCTCGGAAGGAGACTGCGGAAGACTCAACTAGGAATCCAAGGGACAAGAAGCAGGTCCTTTTTGCTGAAGAAAAGCTTGGCATGTCAATCTCAGTGGAAACAATTCCCATAGAGTCAAGCTTGTGTAGGTTGATCATGTGTTGAATGATGGTGGATGATAGGTAGACAACCTACTACAGTATCACTATCTAAACCACATTGAATCACAAACACTATACCTTGGGCTCGAAACATGAAGAAAAGTAATATGATTGTCCAACACCATCAACCAAATGACTCATCAGGCTGCATGTGAAGGGCTGGTCCTAATAATAGACGTGTTCGCGAGCAAACATGACTAGTGCAGCAAAATCTAGGAACCAAATCCTTAGTGCGAGCATTTCTTCAAGGAGGCTCCCCCCGCCCTCATGAGCTATCCTGCGTCCTACCTAGAAGCTAACTTGGATTAACTTAGCCTGGTAGCCTACCTCCCTAAATACTTAAATACGGGCTTAACAAAATCTATTTAACAAGAAGGTCGGGGATAAAAGGATGGAAACGGTATATAACGCCTTCGGGTTGGAATCTCGAACACTCCGGATCCATGGAGTCAATGTGTTTTTCTGCCACCGTGTCACCAAAGGCAGTTCAGCAAGAAGACTGGAACCCAATCGCCCCAGTAGCCTGGCGAATGAAAAATACAGGGCGCAAGTGGATCGTCTTTTCTGGGATGCGGTCGAACTAACGTGAATCAACAAACAAGTCAACTACTAACTACTCTTCCGGGCCAGGATCTTGCTTTGGATCAAACTGTGGGATCTCCATGGGCTGGTCCATGGTGGACATCTCCAAGAAAGCCTTTCCATCTCATGTTCTGCCTCCAAACAGGCTCAAGGAGATCAGCATCATTCTTTTGTCCGCTGAGAAGGCTTCATCAGGATCGACACTGACGGCTTCAAGATATCAACTCTTGGTCTGGTTCAATCCTTCAGACAGGACCCAAATGGGTGAGAACCAGCTCGAACTGTGGCAACTCGACGCCTAGCCGGAAGGGATTTCTCCCAAACGATTGATCAAATCTCACAAGCGGATATATACTGACATTTCATCGCTGTTGATCTCCAACAAAAACAACTGTGAGAGGAGGAACAGTATGGGAACAACACAAATTGAAGAGGTAAGCGCCTTTCTGATTCCATGTTCCAAATGTTCAAGTTGAGGAGGGGAAAACCCGACTCTTGGCCCTCCCTCCACGCCTGCCACGGTGTAACCGATCACCAGTCCCACCAAAGAGCTGGCCTGACGGACTGAGTCTTGCATCTACCACCCGTCCCCAGGCTGTGATTGTTCACTTCGGGAAGGGCCCGACCGTGAGCCGTCGATGATTCGATCCAGCAGGTCGGCGTCTGATTTCGATAACCAAGAGGGTTTTGATTCGGGCACCATGATCTGTTTACTGCATTGGTTTATTGGAATCAAATTCCAAACCCTTTGCATCCCATTTTGGCCCTGGTGGTTTCTGAATCGTAGTATGCCTTGGCGTCTGAATCGTAGTTTCCTGATCGCTTGGTTTCTGAATCAGCTATATATGGGGCCTCCCATCTGGGGCCCTGGGTGGATGGGGCCCCAGAATAAATTTTTAATTCCGGGGTGCAGGACCTAATGGTTGCCAAAAATTATTCCATATGTGAAGAGTTGTCAGGAATAATTTAAAGCAACTTCCAACATGCAGTCTATATGGCATCCTGAGGGAGGCAGTTTCTTTTTATGGCAAACATGTAGTAAAGGCAAGGCCTGCACACCACAAGCTTTACTAGTACTTGCGCTGCTAGAACTAGCCCAAAGATACCAACTCCTCACCAGAAGCCTTACTAGTTTTTGCCCCCTGTACACAATCTCCATAACCACCAGAAACTATTCCAGGGGTGGTTCAGTTCTGGTAGGGGCCTAGAATAATATCACCTCCCCTGTTTGCCTCTATACCTAACCCTGCCTGCCACTATGCCTCACCCCAAAACCCATGACAAAACCCTTAAACCTCAAGCTTTCCCAACCCATACCAGAAGACTTAATTACTAGTATTTGTCATTCTGCTCCCTATTTCCTGCGCAAGATAAAATTATTCCAGGGGTGGTTGGCATAATATCACCTGCCCTGTCTGTTGCTGGAAAGAAGAAACCAACCCAAAATATCAATCCTTACCAAGCTCTCCAACCCTAGTTACTAGTATTTGTGCTCCTAGGCTCCTAAGACTAACCCAAAATACCAACCGGGGAGCTCCAAGCTTTCCAACCCATCTACAAGGCTACGAGTTCACCGCTTCCACTTTTCATACGTCTCAGCTCTTTTATCTTTTCCTGCTTGTCAGCTGCTTTTCCGTACTGGGCTATCCCCTGTGTTTAATGGCCATGCACTCAAGAACCTCACCCCACTACAC